CTGCTTACCTTAACAGACGACAAAAAATTAGGCGTGAGGAGGAACAAGTCTATCAAATGCCTGCAAGTTCCATCATGGACACAGAGCAACATTCAATTTTCCTTTTTTGTCACGAAGTACAGCGAAAAGCAGCCCATACAGTCACATCTGCTATACATTTTATGGAGGAGTGTAAATATTGCAGTTATGACAGAGTTAAACGTGTTCAGATGAAGAAAAAAATGACGAATAATCACTTGATCACGCTTGAACAACAGTTAACATGAATGTATTTTTACACATTTCTTCACACGTTTGCAAAAGACAGGCTGCACTGGTGAGCAGTATCTTTATATAATCGTTTATTAAAATAAAAGATCAACAAATGAATCTGTCTCGACAGCCTTTACAAGTGAGGGCATTATCTACACACAATCTGAATTCCCAATTAGAATAATACTACAAACTATAAAATACTATTCATGAAAATACCTAAACAACAGACAAATCCAAATGCCTAACACAAGCGAGTTGCGCTACAGAGTCCAGACCAGATCAGCTTGATGACGTATAATGTCCCCGACACCGCCTGTAGTCCCATTTAGCAACTTGATAGCAACCATCTTTTAAAAAAAGCATAACCGATTTAAAAATTCAGTAAGTCAGTGAGCATCACACACTGAACATGATGTGTGCAGAGCAGTGATGAAGACATTAAACTTCTCAAAAAACAGTTACAAAGGAGACATTGAAGCAAAAAAAAAAAAAATTTGTAAAAAATAAAATAAAAATCACCTTATGGAGTGAGAATGTGCCAATGAAGCTAAAAGCTCTACCTGATACATACAGCTCTCCAGATTGGCTTAGTGAACTGCCAGGCCTCTAAACATACTATGATTTACTGCTTCCTGAGGGCATAAAGGGAGGAGGAGAGAGCTCGGGGAAAGGGCCAGAGCAATACAGGAGCAAAGATAGTTTGGGGAAGGAGTCACTACATAATTTCAGATGGTAAACTTCTGCATTTACAAAGTCAAGCGGTGCTAAATAATGAAATTGTTTGAAAAATTTTGAAAAAAAAAATTTTTTATTAAATTTGTAAGTTGGTAAAGAAAAAAAAAACTATAAAATCCCAGTTTTCCTATGTAAAAAATAACATCTAAATAAATGAATGACATTAAAATTAAGCGAAATAAATCGTCATCATAGTTCACTGCACTTCCGTATGGGTGAACAGAAATACAATTAATGTAATTTTTGCATTTTCATTTGACCAAACAGCCGTGCTAAACGAAATGTAAAAATCCTGCAAATTTAAAGTTAACGTTCTTTTAAATCAGCTAAAAGGTCATACGATTATGTCTTTGTTGATACAAATTGGCAGGTCAGATTAGGGCTGCAGTGCTGCACAGAAAGAAAAAAATACTGTTTTCCTGCAATACAAATAAAGAAAAATACAGGAATTTTCACCAGATGATTTTAATAGCTATATTTGGAAATCATTTTAAATAGAGTGTGCTGATCTTGTTGCATAAAAAAAATCAATAAATAAATTGTCAAATATTTCAAACTGATCCATTTTTGTGATATTTTTTGTGAACTTTAAGTAAATCCTAATGCAAAACGTGCCATCTAATCGAGATTAAGAACACGTCCACTGTTCTCACTGAATTTCAATGAGTTTCAAAAAATATTTTTCTTACTAGTCTTAAAATCTTATAACATACTTACTTTTCTTAAAAGGTTAGTACTAAAATTCCTTTTGTTTTACCAAACAATTCTAGAATTAATAATTACAATTTAATTTCTCAATTTAAATTTCAATCACCGACTTAAACTTTTATTTTGACAGCTTCATGGTATCGGCTGTGTAAAGGCCGATTTATACTTCTGCATCAAGCGAATGCGAATGCTCCAGCACAACCTTCGCGCAGTCGCATAGCCCTCGCCGTGGATGACACTAATGCACACCTCTCAAAAAATTTAACTACGCTTCACATCGACACGTAGCGTAAGCTCTGTGATTGGTCGGCTTGGTAGCTGTAATCAATGTGGGTGAGACTGAGAGCCGCATGAACCCGTTGAAGCGAGTGTTTACAAGTGTCAAGTCCCGTGATGTAGCTTTAGGTGGAAACTGTTGTTTTTTGTTTACCTTAGGATTAATGTTGTTGCATGTCTGCCGGTTCCTGCCTCTGAATGAGCGAGTTTTTGCTACTTGTATATTAAGGTAACGTTCAAAATAAACAAAACACCTGTGAAGAAACTCGACACAAAGGAACAAAAAACCTCACTGCCAGCTAACGTTTCGAAAATGTTATTGCAGAGCAACACAAACAGAAAGCACAGGTATAAATGCAAGACTACCAGCAAGGCAGGCGCCATAGGTCATGCCAATCACTCGACAAAAGTAAAAGTCAGCCTTAAATGCTGAACATCACTCCAAAGCTTGTAGAGAATACTTAATTAAATCTCAGTCTGCACAATCATGTGACAACTGCGCAAACTCATATCTCGATACGGAATTTATTTTCATACATAGTGGAGCATTGGTCAGTTCCCCAAACTTGAATTTTTGAAAACTTTTAAAAGTGACTCATGTCTGATAGTCTGCATTCACACTGTAAATGGCAAAGATGCAATGACCAGAAAAAAAAGCGGGTGCTAACTGATAGCTGATAATAAAGGAGCGCTCTTTTCTCCATTCCTGTATTTAATCTGTTCACAGGGTTTACCTTTTTTTTCACAAGTTGTTTTACTATAGTTTATGACATAAAAGTTCTCATTTGACCATCTAGGCCTTTTTAAACCAGTAGGCATCTAAATGTAATGTCCATGGTGTGATGTATGATGTGATGCAAGCGAAAGTTTTATATTAGTTTATATTAGTTATGTAGTGGATGTTGCGCCTTCTCGCTAGCATGCTTTTACTTGTGCTATATGACAATTAGGGCTGGGCGATATGGAAAAAAAAAAAATCTAGATTTTTTGTAAAGTTTGACCGATTCACGTTTTCGATTTTTTTTTTATTGTGTAACTAGTCACCTTAAAACATTACAACAACAAGACTGACATTCTCTTTACAAGTAACTTGAAAAAATATCTGGTTAAGGAACACTGTATTTTTAATGGCCATGCCATACATAAATTGGTCAACAAGGTGTAAATAAATGTAATACAAATTCATGAGTTAAATATCGTTGCAGAAGATTTAAAAAAATATTTGTGTAAATATTGCAGTTGCAGGAATAAAGAGGTATTTTTTGCAAATTTTGCTGAGCCTAGGAAAGATTGGCTGTCAGCTCGGCTTTAACTTTGTCTTCTTATTGAATGACAGGTTGTAATGCTGCCTTTTTCTTAAAAAGATACAGTGGAAGTAAAGAACTGAACATGGAAACTTTAAAGCCTCATTTAACCCAATGTGTGAAGTTGTGGACGTTTAGCAGGAGCAAATAAAAGCACCAGATGTGTGTCTAATATAAAATTATATATTTAATCTATTTTTCTTTTCCCCCTTTTAAATATTGATCATTTGATGCGCTTTGCACCACTCTCTGTATTATGCTGCCTGATCTGTCTGGTTTTCAACTAGGTCCGCTAAATGACGTCATGGGGGTGGGTTCTTTCACTTTTCACTGCTACAGCAGCTGCTCACCTCTGCTGGTGTATAAACCAAAAGATCAGCGCGGTTCAAACTAAGATCAGCGGGGTTTTTCACATGGCAGGTTTTTACATCCTTCATACATGTTGAGATCGAGTTTATCGACTTGATGAGGGAATATGTCTTGACAATCCACACAGACATGACTTAGTAAAGCGTGAAGTCATGTAGGATTTCACTTGTTGCATTAGTCTTAATGTAAATCCCCTCGCAGTGCTGGAGTAGCGTGAGAGTGGACCAAAGCACGTTTGATGCAAAGGTATTAACAAAAGGAAAATACACAACTTAAGACACTTAAATGCTTGTATTTGTTTTATTTGCACCAGCTCTGCGATGCATGCCCACAACTTCATGTATTGGGTTAAATTAGGCTGTCCAGTCTCTGTGTTCAGTCCGTCACTACCATGATTGAAACCCAGACAGGCAGTCAAGCAGGTCGCACACTAGAAACGCTGCAACACGGCGCGCACATGACAGTTTAAAGTATCACACACCAGATGCGCACATTCGCACGATATTTAACATGAATCTAATCAAATTTATGGTTTGTGCTTTGTGGCGCGGCTGAAATATGAACTGCGTCCTGAATTGTGGCTGGGGAGCGCCAGTGTGTGTATAGAAACCTATGATTAGAATTCTAAAATCCATGGCGCTGCATGGTGCTGCGAGGCGCATCGAGAGCGGCACTTCTGGTGTGCGACCTGCTTCATACAGAGAGTGAACCAAAGCGCATTAAGGCCATTATAATGTATCAAATATTTTATTTAAAAAAAAAAAAAAAGAATTCGCGATTTCTCGATTTAATATAAAATTAAATCGTCGTCAAAATGTAAATTTGAATTAATCGAAAAAAGAAAAAAAAAATCACCCAGCCATAATGACAACACAACTTTTATAAATTAAATAGGCTTTTTTTGTCCTTGTGTATGAGATTTAATGTTTGGGACACAGAGTTATATCTATATATCATTCACTACGGTTTTTAATGATGCGCGACTCACATTGACAGGTAAAAATTCAATCTACACGCTTAACTGCAGAAACGAGGGCACAGATTCGATTCATATCGGATAAATTTCCAAATTATAACAAGGCCGGAGTCTGATTTGAGTAAATCAGAATCCAGCATTTTTCCTGCTTACACGTACATGGGCCATATCTGATCTGTCACACATAAGAGAAAAAAAATCTGAATTGAGTCACTTGAACAGTGCAGTGTAAATGCAGCCTAAGAGATCCGAGTCTGATTTTAAAAGAACATCAGTCAGTCCAAAACAGGTTGTGACATCTTATTAGCACATATTAAGTCAGCCATTGGTTAACAGGGTTAAAACAAAGCCAGAGAACTAAAAGCCGACAGTCTTACCCTGCAAGGAGGCTGTTGGCTCAGGTCTGGGAACAGCAGGAAGTGGTCTCTGAGAACGAGGCTGGCAGTACGGCGCTGACATTTTCACAGGTCCCACATACTGCACATATGTCCCTGGAAAGTCTCCCCTCTGTTTGGTTCGCTCATTAAAGCCCAAGATCCAGCCGATGCATTCGGGGTGCTGCTCGTCGCCCTCTTTGATGCCCAATGACAGTAGAGACCCTTTGTCCACTGTCAGGATATCACCAGGCTCAAGGTCAATGTCATGCTCCCAGTCCTTACGGTAGGAGTAGATGGATCTGTACTGGAAGCCATCCGCAGCCATTTTCAGAGTATGAAATGACAATCACCTCAGGCAGAAGAGCATCGAAGTAAGGAACAAACTTTGAGGGTGCAATTGATGTCGTACCGTGGGACGTTTCAATAATAGCTAAGCACTACTAAACAGAGCTCATGGGCAGGCATGCGCGGTAGGAATGGCTTAGACCTGGCCGGTGTTGGCCGTACAGGCCACTTTCCTCAACTTGAACCCGCGGTTCAACCAAATGATGGAACAGAGGGAATGCAGCATGCTCACTGAGGCACCGGAAGAGAAAAGAATAAAAATGAAGTCCTTCACAGAAATCTTTTGCCAAATCAGCTGGTGTCGTCTTATAGCAGGTTGCTCAACATTCCCTCTCAAGATGTTATCCTCCCCCAGTGTAATGTGATGACTGTATGGAGAATAAAAGACAGGAGTGTGTTTAGAGCAAAATACTCATAATCTAAACATACAATTACAATTTATTCTGTACGATTACATGAGCAGTTATAATCGAGCAACAGATTGCGTACTCCAGTTACAGCCTTTATCTCAGTCCAAGTATATATGACAGAATGCGTTTAATACATTTGAAAGCTTTAATACAGGTTGTGCGTCACCTCAGTGTTTTAGAGAAAGTGCACATCGCCGAAACCAATTGTAGCTCGATTGCACATGCTGGACGAGTTCCAAAGGCATTATCAGATAATCTGACTTTAAAAAAAAAAAACAGATTCAATTTCATTTTGACTATTTACAAACGATTCAAATAATCAGACTGAAATCAACTTTTAAAGTGCGTGATGCACCTAATAAATGCGTCATGCCATGAAAACATGAAGTCATTCTGTAAGACCAGGTACAAATCTCAACCGAGAAACAAGCTACCGTACTTACCTCGAAAAAAAGAAGAGCTAGAAATAACAGCACCCGTAATCTTACAGTAACAACCAAATATTTCAATTTCAGCAAATTCTCAAAAAAGGTAACAGTTCAAAATTTGTCACAGCTGAAGACTGATGTTGGTGGATTACTCAAGTTTCAGATTCACTCAATATGAAGTCCATACTTGTCTAAGCATCAAAATTGATGTTGTTAAAGCATCACTTGTATGTTGAACCTATAAAGGAAAAAAAATACAACCTTTTTTTTTCCATGCGCATGCGCACCTTCGAACTAGGGGCTTATGGTCAAATAACACGAAAGTGGCACATTAAAGCTTTACAGATGCTGTGGAAGCACTGCAATCGAATAAACAACGGCAAAGTGTTTATAAGCAACACAGGGCAAAACTCACCCCACTTTGACCAAGCGCACTAAGGTCTCAGTCCGACATCCTCTGTGTGGAAAAGAGAGGTGCAAGCGCAGACACGTGGCACTGACATACCCAACCACAGCCTGCAGTCCTCACACCACCGAAACACCCCCTCCGAAATACGTCATCCCCCTTTCCGCCTTTTCATCATTATAACTAAAGTACTTTGTGCAATGCTATTGCTACAGTAGTTCAGTCAACTCATTTAGGAAAAAAGAAAAGGTCCATTCTGAGTCTGAAAGTTCTGCGGAGAGATATCTTCATCTTTACAGGCAATCACACGGCTTGAACTGCTGGAAGACGGCTGACAAGATTTGCATGCATCCTTTCCTCCCCCTTATTCAGTCTGAGCAGAGCAGAGCAGTTTGCAAAACACTGTGACCAAGGCAGAGCACAAAATAATTAATGAATCGAGGCAGGAAACTCACTGTTGCTACAGAAGGGAAAAGGTAATCCTGGCTTCCTATTGGGCAGCATATGGCCATGTGCTCAAGAATCACCAGAGAAGCTGGGGCAAATCAAGCAAACGTTCTAATATTAGAAAATGTATCTAGGCAGTGATCAAACCCCAAACCTTTAAACTAGACTTTTTTACTACAATGCACTTTTTTGTAGCTATAATAGGAATATATTCATGCTTTTGTGTGATGTTGTAAATGTTTAACAAGCAATGCAAAGTCAAATATCTATAGGATCAGGATTATGACAAACTGTTTGGATCTTTTAAACAGCAGAGGACTGGATTCTGTTCAGTATGATTCTGTGCATGTCTTCTGCCTCAGTCTACCAAGGTAGGAGTTTTATCTATGCATTGGACACTTAAGAATTAAGAAATTGGTACTTTTGTAAATGCTTGCTAAGCATGAAAATGATGACAAAGCTTATGCACTAAATTTTCTCTGTCATTTATTTATTTTTATTTCTTTGGCTGAAATGCCTTGACTAATTCCCATGAGTCTGGTGACAGACAGTGATCTCTAAACAATATGTTCTATTTAAGCATGAAGCGTGAAGGACTAAAGGAACGGCATACAGAAAATACCCTCTGGATACATGGCATGGTTCATTTAAGGACGATGTTGCTAATTAAAGATCAAGTGTATAAATTTCTTTAGCTTGAAATGTGTTCTCATGAAAATGTGCATTCAACTATAAGCAAGCCCTTTGCATGCTTATTCCCATGAAGTGTAAACACTATGGTGCTTTCAAAACATTGCTCTGTTTGTTTGAGCATCTTGACCAGTCCAACACAGGCTCGACCAATGCTGTTAGTTTGGGGGCAGGGCTACTTTTCTGATTTTGTATGTACTGATAATTTTAGTTTTAACATTACTTTAAGTTCCTTGTTGTAGAAATCTTAATAACATTAGGTTACAACCTAAAGCTAAAAAAATATGACACAACAGAATTTTTCTCAATGTTATGACTTGCATTTAAAGGAATATTTTGTCCGCGCTAATAGCCAAGTGGTTAGTGCATCGACTCATAGCACAGAGGTGCTCTCAGCAACCCGAGTTCGTTTCCCAGCTCAAAGTCCTGTGCCAATCCCTCCCCTATCTCTGCTCCTCACACTTTCCTTTCTATAAAATCTCGACTGTTTTACACCAATAAAGGTGAAAAATCCCTAAAAAATAATTTTTAAAAAGAAAAACAATTATGCCACAATTTACTCATCCTTTACTTGTTCCAAAAGTTTCTTTCTTCTGTTGAACTTAAAAGATATTTTCTGTATTTTTCAGATGTATTACTTTTTAAAAAGATATTATTTGTCCTACTATTCGATGCATGCAGGTTTCCAAGATTAGTCAAAATATCTCTCCATTTGTGTTAAACAGAATAAAGAATTTCATAAAGGTTTGGAATCATATTTGGGTGGGTAAGCAAGGAGTAATCTTTCATTTTTGAGTGAACTATCCAAGTGCAGCAAATTATAAAAAATGAAAATGCAGGGCAGGATTTTAGTAATGCATGTAAAAATTAACCTACCAAAATGTATACAAATTATTTTGTTCAGAATGACTGTCTGTGTGTTGTTTAAAACGAAACTAAATAATTAGGTAAATCCTCAAAAGGTCAACAGAGAGAGGTCTGTTGCTTTCAAGTTGACTTTTTCCACTTTAGACGTCAAACAGATGAAATTAAGGCTGGTCGATAAACATTATTATATCGAATCGCGATAAAATTTATGTAAATAACAATAAGCTTTGGACTTTTTTTACTCGGGGCTCGAAATTGCGACCATTTTGGTCGCATATGCGCCCGAAATTTAAGCTATGCGACCTCATAATATATATTGGGAGCATTCATGCGACTGCATATAATGGTTGTAGTGCGACCTGTTTTGTTTCATTTTTTCTAAAAACAAGGTAAAATCGGTCTTCCTTGCCGCTATATTGGTTCATATTAGCTGTCAATCACTCAAGACTTTCCGCTGACAGATGACAGGGAGGGAGCTTTTGTGAACCGCGGGGAATGCAAACGGCTGAAGAGTAAAAAGCAAACTGAATCTCGATGCGATGCATGCACTGGGTGTTCAGCCAACACAACCTCACGGCAATTCGTAACTTTTTCATACGTTTCCTAGTGAGGTCAGACTGCAACAGCGCAAATGTCCGCTAAAACACCATCACTAATGAAGCGAGCTTGCCTTTACTGAGTTTAAAATGATGCGGGTTATAACAAAGAACAGTATTGCAACCGGTGGTCATCGGGAGAATCCTGCTCTGCCCCCCTCATATTGGGCCGGCTGACTCGCATGCTTTTCCGCAAACACAGAAAAATGTTATTCAGCGCGTAACGAGGCTGAGCATTAAAACGACACGAACCAAAACCAAAACTTTTAAAAGTGAGACTTTTCTTCTTTTCTTTTGTCTGTTCTTTCTTGAGGTGTATATTATTTTTCTATTTAATTACTGATGACTGCTTTGCAGCTTTCATTATTGAATTGAATGATTTATTATATTATTCTGTTTGTTTTGTAGCAGAAATATTATTTATTAAATTGGCATGCATATAAAACAATAGTACAAAATAAATATTTCTTACTGCAATGCTTCATTTGTGTTTGATGCAAACCATCAATTTATTACAAAGTAACAGTAGGACTTTATATAGCAGATAACTTACATTAAAGCACATTTAAGGCAGCATGATGATGAGAAATATAATTCATTATTAGTATTATTGTCATCATCGTCATCATTAATATTTTATAATTATTCAACATTCATTTTGGAATTATTGCACAAATATTAAGTCATCACAGCATTAGTTGGATAGTTGTTTCTGGGTTTTGTTAGTCTCAATTGATGCTGTTTTCAAATACAATAAATCCCTTAATATACAACTTGTCAAATATATCATTCATTTCATTTTTGGTGGATGCTCCTAAATTTTTTCTGATGCTCCTAAATTTTTTCTGGTGCTCCTAAATATTTCAGGTTGGGAGCACCTGTGCTACCAAGTAAGAGAGTTAATTTCGAGCCCTGACTATATTGAACTAAGAGCCAAAAATGTCGTACCACTTAATGGATCCTCTAATTTTTGTGGTGTCAGTCATTGTTGGGATTAGGCATGGGCCGGTATAAGATTATGACTGTATGATAACCTTTGATAAAATATCCCGGTTTCACGGTATTGTGATTACTGCTCTAATATATGCTCTTTTTAAACAACAACTTTTTTCCTCTTTAAACACAACATATTTTATTTTTGGAAACCTTTTTGATGATTTGAAGCAGTAAACATATCAGGCTGAATAATTCTAATGAATCTTTGACTTCTGCTGTCTTTATTTGTTAAAAAA